TAGCAACGGAGCACCACTTCTCTCCCCTTCTCATGCGTGCCTAGCATTTGTACCTGGACTCTGAAATGTAATATACTTAGAAATATTATTACTTTTGTTTTACATTCTTTGTGAAAAGGACTAGAATCAGTTGGCGATGAGCTTTCTCTATGATTAATGCTTTTGACGATCTTCGTCAAATTTTAACCCTTTCGTAGCACGTATCGCAGTAATGACTCCCTGGGTGTGACGAGTAATCAAAAGAATTGCACATAAATTTTGAATGTAAAGTGTTGGGATATTGCTTGTAGACATGCAATGAATTAATCAGAGACCCATGCATGAACTTACTTCTCAAATGGTAATGCAAATAAAATTATGCTCTATTATATAACAGATGTACTGTAAGAAACGCGGCAAGTTTTCTCCGTTTTATTTATAATGGAAAATTAATTTACCAGAATCTTAGAACATGTAGATGATTTGTTGCTCAAGCTGTGTCAGAAGTCTCTTGTAATTTCTCGGAAGATTCCATTTTTTTAATTGCTATTGAGACAGTTTTTTGTTTTCACCTTTCTTCCAAATCGTTCTTAGAAATGTTTAGTTCTCGCATTTATTTTTGGTATAATTCTAATGCGTAATCTTTTGTATAATATACACTATATGTTATGTACAACCGCCAGAGATGTCTTAAAAAGTACAGAGTAAACGACTTTTACCAATACTGGGCTGGAACACTTAGTGTGAGACATCAACGATTTCATTCCAATTGCTTTTTTCTCCTCTCCTCCCTTGGCGAGTGGAGCTAGCGTTTTCGGTGTCTTACCAATCAAGTGAACATTTAAATTAAAACGTTTAAGGCTCTAATGAAATGTTAGTATTTTGACAGCTGCTCACAAGCAACGCCATCATTTGATGCGTGTGTATCAAGCTACTCTGGCGAGATTTATCTTCTGGGGTTGAGAACCTCGAGTGTTAAGAGTAGCACCGAGATGGCAGGTATATTTTACCTAAGATAGGCGGTCAAAAAGGATGCCTGAATGAAAATCTATCTTAAAGATAGGATATAAAATTCTATATAAACAAATTTAAAAAACTTATATGAACAAAATAATATAATGTAAACGGTTACAATTTTTATTCCAACAACTTTTATCAAATAACTACCAACATGTTTCAGAAAGGCATTCGAGAAAACGTGAACAATAATCTCGTCAAAAATTCTGTTAATCATCTTTCAACAAAGTTTTTTATGACTGAGTGTAAGATATTCATTAATGGATAATTGTTATTAGAATGAGCAGACTTTAAACTATATTTTAATTTAAAAAAATCTATCACTCAAATGTACTTCCTCACTTACTCTTATCTTGGTCATGATTGCACATAACCACCAGATATAAGTTGACGTTTTCCACAAAAGCTATCTTGAAGAGTAACAACCACTTTTGAAAATTCACTAAAGAAAATGCCTCAGTATATTTTCGCATGAGGAAAGTTGTGGGGAAAGCATGAGGAATGACTACGAATTAATTTCCCTCGAAATGTATCTTCGAACTGCGAGTGTGGATTGATTCTTTTTTGAATCCTCGAATGGCGTAATTAAAAAAAATGCCTATCTTTGAATTCATAAAACCTTCAATGCTGTTCCGAAAATTGACGTATCACGTATAAGTGTGTCCTGGAAAGAGGTGCAAAGCCCTACTCGAGCATGGAATAGGATTCCTTGTGACAGAAGTCGGCATCAACGAAAGATATTCTAAAATGTAGACTGTTATCGTTTTGCTTTCCCCAAGCAGTTTTTAAAACTTGCTAATTCTGGAAGCCGAGATTAGCACTTCCTGCTTGATAACGACAAAATTCGACACTACCCACATGTTCAGGCTTTCAGACACGTTTCTAGGTTAATCCAGATGGGTCCCTTCATGGTGAAAAAGGAAAATAAGGAAAAAAGTAAGAAAAATGTGAAAATAAGGCAAACATTATAAAATATGCACGAAAAGGAAATGATAGGAGAATTGACGCAATATTTGTTCGTCCCGTCATAGTACCAACCTCATTGATTTTAAAAGTGAAGTGTGGATTGATTTAGCCAACATAACAGAGCTAGAATATGTTTGAAAGCGTATAAAGAATACAAGCGAGAATCCAACGCATTACCAAAGTAACTCGGAAACTGCGACCTTCCGGGATTTTTGTGAAACATTGTGAATATCAAAAAAATTTTGTTACAAACGAAGTATTTATAAACTCGAAGTTTATATTATATAGTCGAAATTTACATCTACTCGAAGTAAGCAATAGTGCAGTACTCTAATCATCCCTTTTCGTCTTTCACAATTTTTTGCTAACCTCATTGCCATTGTTGTGCTGAACCTGTTCTGCCACCAAGTTGTATAAACCTACCTGCAGAAATAATAAATCTGTCTGTATATCTAACGGTCTATCTGTCTATCTAACCTCAATCGCCGTACGGGTGGCAAAATGACTTTTAGGAAATTTCAATGATTGAAATTCGCATGCCGTGTTGATTCCCTGTAAGTGCTCTTCAGCCTGAATACGAGTGTGTTACAAAACACTCCAAAAACCGGAGTTAAGTAATTCGTACTGTTAAGTATTAAAATCATAACAACAGTAAGACATTTTGCCAAATTTTCGCGGCTTTAGTCATATATTCTTCGAGATCATGGGGTAATGGATCATACAGTTTTGGATAATCTTATCATCTTATCGCACTGCTAGTGAAACCGATTATCAAAACAAGCAAAAATAATTTAATCGGAACTGTTATTATATTTCCCACTGGTCTGAGCTTCTAACTAGGCATTGAATGTTAGCTAATTAGCAAACATTTCCGCGAATGAAGAGGGAAGTTCAGTGCGTAACAGCGGATGGGCAAGACTTACTCTTATGTAATGTGCTCATAGTCATGTGATGTTAGGTGTGTGTAATTTATACCGTTGCAACGGAAATGCTAATGATCAGTCTTGATAGTCAAATAGCGTGCTTAACATTTGTGTCGAAAGTGTTAATGATTGTTTTTCTAGCCCTTGAAAACGTATTGATTTCCGTTTCGTAATTTTTGTTGTTGTCTTTTTCTTTCTGAAGATAATTCTATATTTGACGTTTATTTTTAGAACTTTGTAAAAAGGATTATTCATCAAACGAGAAAGACAAAAATAGTGGTGCTCCTAATTGTAATTCATTATACAAGATAGAATACGATATTAAAATCATCTCTGACTAGGCAAGAACATTTATAATTGTACTATATATTTACTACATAATAGTTTAAACAATTAGTTTAAGTTTTAGATCAAAAGTTATAAGAGCCCAAAGAAACTCATGAAGTTAAAAAAAGACAATTGTACTTCCCTCGCAAATCCTATTAAAATGGATCGATTTAGATACGTGTGTCGTATTACATGAATACAACATTAATGAAGTCAACCTACTATTCAGTTAATGATGAGAAACAAGCAGAAGGGTTTACTTGGGATCATACCGTCTTTTGTTCTCATATTTACATTTGCGATGAAGGCGATAATTTGATGTCTAAATACAGATAACTCGATTTTTAAAATCTCCTTCTCCTTCCTCTTTCCTCAATAATTCTAGTATCACCTTCTTAAAAACCTTCATATCTCAATTTTTAAATTCGACAACTTGTTTCCATTTTATAGATAATTCGTATATCAGCATCTTGAAAACCTTGATATCTCGATTTTTAAATTCTTCTCCATCCCCTTTCCTCGTTAATTCACATATCTGTATCTTGAAAACCTTCGTATCTCGATTTTTTGTTGTGGAGAGAAGGCTCAAAAACGTGAAGGAAATGAATGAAAGTAATGAATTCGAATTTTAATTAGTTTAACTTTATTCTGTTTTCCATATTCCTTTCGTTTAATATGATAATAATATTTAACCTACAGTTTACCCTCTGTCTTATGACAAAAACTGATGAAATGGGTGTTATCGAGATTTTTGTGAAAGATAAAGGGAAAACTTTAAATGTTTAATAAAAATTAATAAATTCCAGATAGCAACTTATTCGAGTTATCCTGAATCCCATTATTCGACGAATTATTTTTACCATGTGTATTGCAGCAGAACGATCCTCGATCTTATTATAAATATTTATTCATATATTCCTAATATCTTATACCATAATTTTTTTGTAATGAAAATATTTATTTTGTATGGGTTCAGTTCGAACAATATGCATATATGAATATGATAGATGCATATAGAAGATACTGTCATGCGATTACGAAATTGGTCGATTTTCATTCCTCCCTTTTTACCTAAAAATTGGAGACTGATTGTTCTTTTGATTATCATATTTAAACACCCTTTCACTCCACAAAATAAGAAAACCAACATTTTTTTAAGAATCAATATTCGTTAAAAAGGTGAAATTATTTTTTTATCTCCATTGTTTGTGTTGTGTCCGTTGCTAATCCGACTAGTTTCTGAGCGTATCTTCACTACAAAGAATAACATTCACAACAACAAAATAACTTGCTATTTTAACAAAAGTAACATTCTCTCGTGTCCCTTTAGGTGACGATAATTATCACACCTCTCCCTCTTTCTCTCTTATCTATATCTATCTCTATCTCTATACTTCCCTCTCCACCCTCTCTCATTTTCCTACTCCCTCTCCCCTTTCTCTCCCCCTCCCCCTTTCTCTCCCTCTCCCCCTTTCTCCCCCCTTTCTCTCCCTCTCTTTTCTGCTTCCTATACCCCCTCTCTGTCTCTGGAAACCTTTCCCAGACAGCATGTTTTATAATACATTAACTTTTCCTTTAAACTATTTTATACATAATACTAACTCGTAGCCTTAAAAATTCGTCCATGGAAGTTGCACTTGAAAAGAACATTGTCCCATGTATCAATTTCTGTTCTAACATCATTCGTTGATATTCTCACACTTATTCTGTACTTACTATACAGATACTATGTATTTTATCGTGAATTATATCAACATTAACGCGCGCGTGTGTGTGTTCGGTTTGCAGGTGTACCACGAGTGCTTCGGCAAGTGCAAGGGCATCTGCACGCCCGAGCTGTACACGGACCAGCACGCGCACTGCATTCAGTGCGTGGAGTGCCACGGCATGTTCTCGCCGCAGCGCTTCGTGTGCCACGCCCACCGCGCCCTCGAGAACCGCACGTGCCACTGGGGGTTCGACTCGGCCAACTGGCGCGCCTACCTGCTGATCGCCCGCGACCAGGCCGAGCACGAGAAGCTGGCTAAGGTGCTGGACGTGTTCAAGGAGCAGCACGACATCGCCCACCCGTCGCCCGCCGCCCTCAAGCGCAAACAGGTGCGTGCACACTTCCTTCCTTTTCTTCAAGCCGTTCGGGGTAAGGTTTCCGTTTTGGGTAAGGTTTCCTTTCGGGTAAGTTTCCGTTCGGGTAAGGTTTTCCGTTTCGGGTAAGGTTTCCGTTTCGGGTAATGTCGGGTGATAATGGTAGAGAATGGAAACGCTAAGAGTTGCGTGAATCGTTTCTCCAAGATTTCAAACAAAGTAACGTTTAATTCGGTTTTGGTTATAGTTAGTTTCGGTTTCAGGTACTGTCGGGTGATAATGTTAGAGAATGAAAATGTAAACAGGTGCGTGCATCATTTCTTCAAGGATTCAATCCAAGTAACGTTTAGTTCGGTGTCAGTTATTGTCGGGTGAAAATGGCAGAGAATGGAAACTCAGGCAGGTGCGTTGATCTTTTCTTGAAGGCTTCAAACCAAGCAACGTTTTAGTCCGGTTTCAGTTACGGTTAGTGTCGGTTTAAGTTACTGGCGAGAGATGGTGGTAGAGAATGCAAACACAAACACGTGCGTTCATCTTTTTCTCAAGGCCTCAAACCAAGTTACTTTCCGATTTCGGTTTCAGTTACGATCGGGTGATTATGCTGTAGAATGCTACTCGGAAGTGCAAACAGCTGCGTGCAGCTGCCGCTTCTTTCTTCAAACCATTTCAAGTAATGTTTCGGTTTCAGTTACTGACGGGTGATGATGGTAGAGTATGCAAACGCAGACAGGTGCGTGCATCTTTTCTTCAAGGCTTCAATCTAAGTAACGTTTTAGTTCGGTTTTAGTTACTGTCGGGTGATGGTGGTAGAGTATGCAAACGCTAACAGTTGCGTGCATCTTTTCTTCGAGGCTTCAAAGAAAGTATGTGCCCCCACGAGGGGCGTAGTGCGTACTCGGCGTGTATAGCCGAAATCGGCATCACCCAAGCTGAAAAAATGTAGAACTTTTGTTTTCGCTTTTTTATTTTGTTTCCTTATTAACGTTTCTACCATCAATAGGATTTTTTCAGTTCTTAAACAAGCTGAAATTCGTATGGAAAGGTCGCAGTCGCAGAATGGTACCAGAATGAATGTTACGAGAAGCCATCTCCGCCACGAGCAAATGGTGAAATGCCTTTCGCGGGACTCGAACGCTCATCTGCATATCTGTTGCAATATGTCGTAAATCAGTTCCAGACGTGAGATCTTTACAGCTTGACCTCCCCCCTCTCGTGTCATTTGTTTTTCGAGCGACGAAAGAGCTTTTTTTTTCCTCGCGTGGTTCGCTAAAACGACCGCGAAGCGACAGAGCTGTCCGTGGCCACTCGTCCTGTGTGTGTGTGTGTGTGTGTGTGTGTGTGTTCGTGGTGTGTGTGTGTGTGTGGCGCAATGAAGCCGCCCTCTCGCGCGTCGTAATCCTGAGGTCAAGTTAAAAGAGATTCCGCACGCGGGTTCAAGGGCGGCGGCGGCGGCGGCGGCTGCGGCGCGCGCGCGCGCGCCCCCGCGCGGCCATCGCCAGACTGCGTTGGCCATTACTTTTAACGACGCCCGTCCGTCTGATTGCCGCGCCACCTGCAAACGCTCGCGTGCGCTTGCCCAGCCCGGATGCGCGCGTGTCTCTGTGGTGCGGCTGCCCCGCACGTAGGTTGGGAGGTGGGGGAGGACAACTGCGACGGTTTCGTGGCGATTGAATGCGAATGAGGGCGAAAGTATCGTGTTGGAATAACTTCAGGAATTTGAAGTAATCTTGGGGATTTGAAATAACCCCTGTAATTCGAAATAACGTCAGGCAATTCAAAACATTTGTAATTCCAAACAACCACCTTGTAATTCCAAACAACCCCCTTGTAATTCCAAACAGCCACCTTTAATTCGAAATAAGCCCCTGTAATTCGAAACAACCCCTTTAATTCGAAACAACCCCTTTAATTCGAAACAACCCCTTTAATTCGAAACTACCCCTTTAATTCGAAACTACCCTCTGTAATTCGAAAGTAGTCCGCCTTCGTAATTTTATTTTTGTGAAGTTCCATTGCTTTCCAATCGAACTTATTGATGCATTTTCCCTTTTGATACCTCTCTGCAAGTGAGAAAGGGTCGACACAGTAACAGTTAATTTCGCCAAGGGGCGTTCAGACGAGGAAAGTCGTTGGAAAGTCGAAGGCATTAAAAGCAGAGCGAGCGACTCACCTCATCATTAAGTGCGGTTGATAAGAGAGTGTGTCTGCTGGCATGTTGTTGGAGACTATATGAAATGATTCTGTATGCATAAATTCTCCGCGTGCATGACACCGACAGGTGTTGTGATTTCGTCTTTTCTAAAGGTTATTTTTGCCACTAATTTTTTTCTGTTAACTTGTTTCGAAATCAGCAGAACGAGAAATTGTAGCCTTTTTTTAGGTAAGTCAAACGTTATTGTATTTTATCGCTACAAAAATTGTTAATGGAATCATATTTTTATGTGCCTCAACTTGTCAAAAAGTTGTCGCGATTTATTCTCTCTAAAAAAATCAAAAACGCAGTAGCACCACTATCGCCCTCATACCGCATTCGTTTCACTTTTACTCCATCTCATATCATTACAACGTGCGGATGCGTCAATGCAGCTCTATGCTGGTGGCGTACGTGACTGAAGAGTGGTGTCCCAGCGTTGATTGTGCTGGCGGCCGACCTCAAAACGCGAAGCCTTGTGGCAGTGGGGACCTGGTGCAACCAGTTCGTAATAACGAAGGCTTCTGCTTATTTGAATTGATTGCAGCAGCGATGAAAATACGAGGACAAATAGGTTTCCCATGTGAAAAACAACAACGAATGATTGGAATGATGAACTTTAAATTGGAAATTTTTAGTCACTTCAAACTTACAAGGCTAGTTCAAACATAAATGAAAGAATGTGATATGTAAAACTACAAGAAGTACACTAATCGTATACCATTATCAATGCGAAAAAAATATCTAAGGATGGTTTTTTACGTGATGAAATTTGAAGAGAGTGAAAAAGGCGGTAGACAACCCATAATCAATGTGTTACCCTATTGTTCATATTAAGCAGACTGTTCAGATTAAGATTGTCTACAACCATGTAATTTTGTTGTACAATAATACTTCTGCCAGAGGCGTAACACCCCCCCCTTACCCCACACCACCCCCACCCCACCCTGAGTGACCGTTGCCCCCCTTCGATTCCTCATCGATGGAAGAAGTGCTTGCGTTGTCTATTGGGATAGAGAAATGAAAACTGGCGTCACCGTCACAGCCAATATACCTGACATCACTGCGGTAGGCAAAAAGAAGGAAGAAATTTAACTAACTGACACAACCTTCCCAGTCTCCTAAAACATCATCAAATGCTGTAATAACAAGATTAGTGATGAAGAGGACCTGGCAGATGAAGTAAATAAACTTTGGAAGAAAACAAAAATTTAAATTAATCCCATTATCATTTCAGCAATTAATTTTCATTTAGCACGAAATTGAAACGTTTTATTATAAGCACAAAAAACACGTGAAATTAGAAGAAAAGTGGCAAAAATTCAGAAGTTAGTCAACAGTCAGGATATCTGTTAATTTGATGAAGTTATTGGGAGACAAGCTTTAATAAACTTGATATATTGTCCGTTCAACGCTATGCAAACCGAAACAATAATTATAAATAATAATAATAAATATTTTTAATAATAATAATAATAATGATAGTAATAATAATCCAATACTAATACTACTAAAGAAATATTTACTTTGAGACAATTCTTTTACTTTATGTTTATCAAATTGAATAAATTTGAATAACCCCCTCTCCGAAACTTGAATCTTTATTACACCCATGACTTTCTAGGAGCCGGCTGCTCTGATAGTTTTCCGTGGTTTCTCCGATCAACATCAGGCGAATGCCAGAGCAGTACCCTAACAAACAGGCCACGGACCGCTCGCGATCTTGTCTTCCTTTTCCTTCTCTTTCTTCTTTTCCCTTACTTACACTCACTTACACTTACATGCACTACACTATCACTCATGCCGAGTGACCTGTCGGGGGCTTAGTGCTTGTCCCGGCTGGGCGGGTGTCCCGATGGGAGATACCTGGTTGGGGAAAGCTAGCCGACGGTATGTCGGTGCCGGATTTCACTATCCATAACCGCCAGCTCGCGAGAAAACAATCATTACGTTTATGGGAATAGTGATCTTAGCACTTGTCGCGCCCGGAATCACTAATCAATATATCAATCAATCAGAGACGTTGAAGTAGTATGATTGTTCATCTCGTCTTCGTTGTCTTTGGACTCGGAGCAAAGAAGCAACGAACGGACCCCACTTCCTGCCGCTCGTACGTCACTGCGTGCGTGCGTGTGTGTCGATGCGTGTGCCGGGGCAGCAGCGCGTATATCTAGCGCGCATTCCTGCAGCGACATCTTAAGTGCCTCGACGCCAGTTCGTTCCGACCGATCGTTCCGTTGATGGCTTCTGCTGAACGAGGTGAACGGTTCTCGAAACCACTACGCGGTGTGTGAGAGAGAGTCGAGTAGTTAGTTGTGTGTACACGAGGTAATAGATGCATACTCCGAGCGTACTGTTGGTGTGTGCTTGGAGGGTTGTAAATAACTGTGGAAATGAAATGTACGCAGCGCGCTTTGAAATGAAAGGCGACCCGTTCTCGCTTTTTCGGTTTACGACTGGTTTACGACCCGCGCGGATCGGGATGTGAGATGAAGATGTCGCTTTCAGTTGCGGCTTTGACGAGAAATGTGTGGGTGTGAGAGAGGAATAAACAGAACGCTGTTTGATGGGTGTCACGTTCCTAGGAGTGCTACATCTGTCGTCTAGGAGTTCGTATGGCCTACTTCCCTTTCTTACCACCGTATCAATCATGTTTGTGGTGTAGGTATTTTGAGTCTATTGGTTCATTAGGTCATCGCGTCCATGTCATTCACTTTTTAATCGTTACATTTGCACCTGAACGTAGAAGAAATCGTTGTCATTGTCAAAAGTTCCGAAATACACGTTTATTACTACAGTAGAACCCTCGTAATCCGAACTACAG